GGAGGGCGGCGGCGGGAGGTCACCCCTCCCCCTGCCGGGCCAGGGCTGGAAGCGGCCCAGCGCAGGCCGGGACACGGTGGCTTGACCGCCGCGGGGCGGGGAGGGGGCCGGGTCAGCGCGAGACTGCACAGGCCGTGCTCAGGGCTGGGCTCCGTGGTCAGCCAGACCTGAGCTCCAGTCACAGCCCCACCAAGCCTTCAACTGCCCCATCTCTAAGATGGGGTTCAGAACGCTGCCTAGCTCACAGTGGTGTTGACAAGACTCACTAACTGGGAGGCAGGGACTTAATGGAGGTCCCTCCGGCAGAAAAGCCCATAAATGGGGCAGTGTCTTTCTGGGAGCCATTTAGTACAGCAAGGGTCTAATAAATGTTACTATTATTCCCCATGCGCGCATGTGACACAGTCATTTGTGTGTGGCCTTCCCCACTATAATGTCAGCCCCACAGGGCAGGAATGTGTGGCTGTGGTCACTGCTGTGTCCCGGGCACCCAACAGGTTCTGTGTCTGTCCCTCGACAATCAGGGTGTATGGGCAGGCTGCACACGTGACCCAGCCCCCAGGGACCACACCACACTGGCTGCTTATAAAAACCACTTTAAATTAAAAAAGGTAAGCATCAGTGCACACAGATGGGAACAGACAGACAGACAGACAGAGGGCCCAGCCCCGTGTGCAATGTGGTCACCCCACAGCTGAATGGGCAGTGGGGGAGACCCCCAGGAAGGCCAACAGCTGAGGCCAGGGTGCTGGTTCCTCTGGGTGGGGCTTCATGCCCTGTGGGCTCAGAGGTCAGCCTTCCGGAAACTTGCTCTGTTCAAGGAGTTCCTGGGGGAGGAATGAGGTGGGTCAGCACGGCCACAGGACCCCCAACTCCACAATGCTCCCCAGCCCTCCTCCTTCTCCTCCAAAGATCATTCTAGGCTCTTTCTTGCTCCTTTCACATCGCTTCTGATCCAGCTGTGGATTCACAGATTCTTGCTTGGAATCCACCACTAGAGATACGCATCATGCCCATTTTACAAATGTGGAAACTGAGGCTCAGAGAGATGAAGTCCCATGTCTGGGAATTGACCCACCAGAACCCAAAACGGCTGCCCAGAGCCTGCCTGCACGCACACATCCACGTATTCACATGCTTGTGTAAAGCCGTAAGCGCACGTGTTGACGTGCACACAGACAACAGCCCCCACCCTGGCTTGTCTTTGCCCGCCTCCTCTTCCCCTCTCTAGAGTGGGGGGCCCAGTCAGGCACCTGAGGCCGGCCGTGGTGGGCGCCAGGAGCTGGGGCAGACGCTGGGTGAGCAGAGGCTGCAGAGCCTCGCGCAGGCGGGAATAGTTGCGTTCCAGCTCGCGGTGGTACTCCTTCTGGTCCGGCCCAATCAGGGCCTTGTTCTTCCGCAGCGCATCCTCACACCTGAGGGCCGGATGGCAGGAGATGCTCAGGGGCGAGCACCCAGGAGACAAAGCACGATGGAAGGTGGGGGAGTCCATGAGGTGGGCTCAGGAGCTCTAAGGGGAGTCTGATGGGTAGAGGGGACTTGATGGGAATCAGAGACGTGGGGGACCCCTCATGGAGACTGCGCACAGAGGGGCTATAACAGGGGTCAGGCTGACAGGCTGTACTGGGGCTCAGGTCGGCAGAGACCCGTAACGGGGGGCTGGCGGGCGGGGCTGTAATGCGGCGTCAGGCCTACTTTTTGCAGAAGTCCTTGAAACAGAGCCGCAACTTATTATGATGCCTGAAGAGCTTGGGGTCTTCCGGGATCTCTGTCAAGAACACCTGGGCCACCTCCAGAGGACCCTGGGGGGTGAGAGGGGCTGGTGAGGGTGCCTGCGTGGCCCCCGGGGGCCCCGGGCAGCCCGCGTCCCCCGCCGGCCGTGCCTGGTTCACAGTGGGCCCCACGGAGCCCTGGAGCACCATCTGCAGCATCTTCGCGTCGGGCGGGTCCTGCTCGGTGGCGAAGGCCAGCTCCCGAGTCTTCTTCTGCATGTCCTCGATGGCCACCTCCACGGGCGTCAGCACTGTCTGGGGGTGGGGGGCGGCACGCGGTGGCCGGGGTCTGGAGGGTGGAGGGTGGGGGTCCCCTCGCCTCCCCACCCGGGTCTGGGGTACGCGGGCCTCCCTCCGCGGAACGAGGTCCCCCGCCCACCTCCTCCCGGTGGCACACGCGGATGCGCGTCTTGATGTAGGGGAAGGCGTGGGCTGTGCTGAGCAGCGTCTTCCGCTTGTGCTGTTCCGGGAGCTCGCCGTGCGCGCGCCCGTCGGGCGTGAAGGGCGTGCAGAACAGGAAGGTGCGCAGACCGTAGTTGCGGTCGAAGTAGGTCACGCGGTCCTTGAGCTCATAGGTGTCGAAGTGCGGTTCCACGTAGGTGATCTGGATGTAGGCCTGGGGCGCGCGCTTCGGTGTGAGGCTCCCACAGCCGCAGCACACACACCCGGCGCGTGCCGGCCTCCCCGCGGGGCCCCTTCCCTGGAGAAAGGGGATCTGGGCCTCCCTGATCTGGGGCTCCCAGGTCCCCCCACATCTGGGTGTTTGGAAATCCCCTGAGGAATACGACTTAGGGTCCCCGAGGAAAATAAGCTTTGGAGTTTCGCAGAGAAACAGGATCAGAGGGTCCCCAGGAAATAGTACTTGATCCTCCCTGAATGTAAGATTTGGTCACCTTCTGGGGGTCGAGCTTGGTCTTGTCCACGGGGTTCGAATCTTTGACAATCTCGACCACGTCCTCCCCGAACCTCTCGGTGTAGAACTCCTGGGGACATAGGCAGACTCAGGGCCGCCCCGGTGCAGCACCCCCGCGCCCCAGGGCGCCCCGCCCCCGCCCCCGCCGGCCGTGCCTCCAGCCGGTGTGAGATCTCGGCCAGCTTCGTGATGGACGGCTCCTTGTACACGAACTCCTGCTCGTCCAGGTCGCCGAAGCGCGCGCCGTAGAAGCCCACGCGGAAGTACGTCCCGAACACGCGCTGGGGCTGCGGGAAGGGGGTGGTTGCCCGGAGGCCCCGCTGGAGGCCCCCCTGCCCCGGAGACGCGCGTCCTCGGGCCCCGCGTGCGGAAGAGGTGGGCGTGGGCGGGTGACCCCGAGAACGACACCACACAGGCACAGGTGGGGGACCCCGAGACTATCGGGGCATGGACCCAGACGACGGCCAACTGCCCACCGCCTCGCTCTTCCTCCCCAGCCTGTCTTCTCCCTCCCTCCCCCAAATCTTTCTTCTCATCTAACACAAGCCCCTCGTTTCTGATTCTCCTCTCGGGTCCACGCAGTTTTTCAGGGTCTAGATCTCAGTGTGAAATTAGGACTAGGGTTCTATCGCTCACAGCTG